ATAGAATAGAATAGAATAGAATAGAATAGAATAGAATAGAATAGAATTCTTTATTGGCCAAGTGTGGTTGGACACACAAGGAACTTGTCTTTGGTGCATATGCTCTCAGTGTACATAAAGAAAAAATAAAATATATTCATCGAGAATCATAAGTTTATGATTATGGCTGTTTTTATGGTTTGTTATTGTTTTATGGTTATTTATATATATAAAATAATATATATATTATAAATTATACACACACACACACACAAAATATGATGGCTGTTGCAATGCCTCTGCAGCTGTGTCATTACATAGCAATAGCACTTAGACATATACTGCTTCTTAGTGCTTTACATCCCTCTCTAAGAGGTTTACAGAGTCAGCATATTGCCCCCAACAATCTGGGTCCTCATTTTATTAACCTCGGAAGGATGGAAAGCTGAGGACCAAACTGTTGGCAGTCAGCAGATATAGTCTGCAGTACTGCATTCTAACCACTGTGCCACCATGGCTCCAAAATTTGGGCAGTCCATCCTTATTTCTGATTGCAGCATTCACTTCAATTCCTCCTACTTCCCTATCCCACCCCATCTCTAGCCTTTTGGCCATCCTGCATTCCATTGAAACCTACCCCTGCTGCCCCTTGCTGACCTTTGCCACCTTCTTACTTCTACTGCTGAGGCACCCAAAGCATTGCAAAGGGAAGTAGCTGCCTCAGCTAGCAGAAGTGTAAAGTCTTTTCCTAACACCAGTATAACCCTCACTTAACCAAGCAAAGGGATTCCCGGAACTACCATTGCCAAGAGGTGCAGTCATGTGATATTTCACCTAAGAAACCACTTCAGTTAGCAACAGAAATTCCGATGCCAAGTAGGAGAATTAAATGAAGACTGTCTGTAAATGGAAATCAGAAGAGTTCCAGCAGGGAATTTACTTTTCAGAGGAAAAGCATACGAATATATATTTTTTAAAATGAATTATCCATGTAATTTCACTAGCAACAAATGAAAATTTATAGATTTTATATATTCATGAGCTGTGAAGGACAGGATCCAGACGTTCTACCTGAAAGCAAAAGCTCTAACTATGCTGAAGTTTTTCTTTCTACAATATAGCAGAAAATAGGACAGAAGCTACTTGGTAGCAGCATAATTCTATAAAGAGCCGTGGTGGCACAGTGGTTAGAATGCAGTATTGCAGGCTAATTCTACCGGCTGCCAGCAGTTTGATTCTCACTGGCTCAAGTTTGACTCAGCCTTCCATCCTTCCAAGGTTGGTAAAACAAGGACCCAGATTGATGTGGGGAAATATGGTGACTTTGTAAACCACTTAGAGAGGGCTGTAAAGCACTGTGGAACAGTATATAAGTCGAAGTGCTATTGCTGTAACTGTAAAGCCACCAATTTCCCACCCCTTGGGTAGTCCATATCTGGAATTGGAAAAAAGCCTCAAAAAGAAATACATTTGATTCTTAAAGATAAAGCACATACCTGCTCCACAGAGGAATGCATCATAGGCGGCCTCATGAGGACACTTATTTATAGCTGAAAGATTTCAAATGCAGAGAAAAGGTAAAACATGGAAAAAGAACTAGACATATAAAAGAAGCTGGCTGATGTTTTAATAATTAAAAGGGCTATATGAACCATAAATGAACAGAGTAACCATAATAATTACACTGGATTTACAAATAAAATCTTGTGACAAGGGACAAAGAAAAACTGAAAGGAAATAAAGTTTTGCAACATTATTTGAATGCACTGAAGAGTAAGATTGTTAGAATTAATAGTAAGGAATATAAAGTTGGTTTATTTGATTAAAATAAAGTTATAAATGTATATATGATGTAAAAATGCTTAAAATATTAAAAGAGACATGCTGATAAATCTATAAATAATAAAGAGAAGAGATCATTTGTTATATTTAAGAGATGACAAACTAATAAAAGTATTCATATTTGTTAGGATGAAGATGGAAAGTCACTTCTTTGTAAGTTTTTCTTTTTCTTTACTATATTTAAACTTTTCTTTCTTTTCTATTTTTCATTTTCTTCTTTTCTATACAGTCTAATTTTTATTCTTTTCTATATAGTTTAATTTTTATTCTTCTATTTTTGTTTAGTTTGTTTTTTTTTAACTTTTATAATTACAATCTTTAATAAAGTTATTATTTAAAAAAGAGAAAGTAAGTAATAGTCACACTCTATTAAGTTGCCCTCGTTATTCCTTATGGATAAAGAATAAGATGGCAACAGAACAGATAACTCTGTAAAGTTCAGAGGTGCCGCCTACACCCCTTTCAAAGAATACCTGAGTGTTTGTTGCAATGAAGCTAACTGAACCTTGTGACAGCTCTATGCACATTAATGTGATCTTTTCTTCAAGATTATGAAAAATCTCTTCAAACTAAGCAAAGGACATTTTTTTAGATTTACCAGTGATAATGGTTACATGGTAAGAGTTTCATTCCAAACCAGACGTACCGTATCTGAGGGAATCATCTGAGTGAAAGATCTCTGGACAAAGCTGGTCTGTTGGATTCACAATGCTGTTAAGAGGCAGAAATCATTTTTAATTCCTGCATGTTTCTTTCTGACAACCCTTCCCTCCCTCCTCCTCCACATCCACTCATATGGCTCCTTTGAAAAAGAGAAATTGAATGGATTAGAATTTCTAGAGTAGGCCTCCAGAGGTCAGATCTAAAGACCTCATACCGCTATTTTATGCTCTCCTGTAACTTCTTAACACCATTTATATAAGCTTCCTATTGTCAGAAACTATGCATACGTCAATCCTATAAAGCAGACGAGAACGAAAAACAGCATGATACAGGCCTCAAACTACTTTTATTAAAATTGGCTACAGTAACACAAACTTGCAAGTATGAATATGTTCTGCTCAATCCTATTTTGTCTATCAGGTGAAGTTTGTGTATGTGTGTGTTTCTGGATGGATGTCTGCTTAAGACATTTTTGCTCCCGGTTCCCAAATCTGGGATTCTGCAACCTTTATCTCCATCAAGGTCATCCTCCTGATGGTCTATAGCAGGGGTGTCCAACCTTGGCAACTTTAAGACTTGTGGACTTCAACTCCCAGAATTCCTCAGCCAGCAAAGCTTGCCAAGGTTGGACACCCCTGGTCTATAGTATTGCAGATTTATGACCATGACATCAGAAAATTCTATAGATAGACTGACTTTAATGTTATCCTAAAATCTGCTTCTGTACTGAGAATGACAAGACTTTTGGGCAATACATTAGTTGTTTATTCCTCTTTCAAATGTCAAAATGAGCAATGTGCCATCTAACTACATCTAAATGAAGGAAATACTGAAGAGTATGGAACTAAAACACCCTTTGATTCCTGAGAGTTTTTACTGGAATAATCGGTCAGTGAAATGAAATAGTTATTAAGATTACTAATCAGATATTTAATGATTGCACAGGGACGAGTTCAAGAAAGAGGCATTTGGCTGACCTGCACAGTGTTTCATACAATTCGAAAAGATAAGAAACTTGACGAAACTGGAATTCCTGTGTTGAAGGTGGGGAAAAAAAAGAAATGAGAAGTTTTTAGGTGCCACGGATATGAATCAATTGGCAAAGAATAAAAGAGACAGTAAAAGTATGGAAGTCAGAAGGAAGGTGTGAAACCCACTGTGCTTCTGAATTTTCCTATAACCTTTGTTTTCCTATGGGGAAAATGAGATTATTACCCATTTCACTATTAAATTTTCTATGCTATGAATGCAATACCCTTAAATAAGCTTGGAATTTACATGCACCAAAACTGATTTAACATATTTTTATTCTAGTTCCTCCGAAAACACATCTCATCTTCATCAGCTACCCCTCCTAAAAACGGGAAGCCTGGGGAAATAGAATTCTATTTTGAAACTCAAGGAAGGCCAGCCTTATTCTCCTTCCCATAATGAAGATAAATCTTATCAGCCTGCACATTGGAGATTAGTGTGTGGAACTTACAAAGCAGACCTCAAACAGGGACATCAGCATTGTCACTCTGAGCCAAGCCAGTGGTTACATCCTTCCAATTCATTTTTTTGTAAGTTCAAAAAGAGAAGTTTTTATTTGCTCAGCCCTAAAATATACCATTTTTAATATATGTAATATTCAGGTTCCCCAGGAACCTACCAACATTTTCTTGCAGTGTCTGCAGCACTGAGTTCGTGAGCCTGGGACTTACGCTGAAATGGACCAGAAGCTGGCATTAAATCACTTCTGCTGAACTCTGGGATTATTGCTCCTCTAAGAAGTATTGAACAATGAAAAACAAAGAGTAGGCTTTCTTGATCTTTATTAAAAGGGGGAAATGACTATGTGCTCATTTATTTATTAAACTAAAATACTTAATTTGAAAGAAAATGTAATATAAAAGTGACCGAGCTTGATCTCTTTAGTCTGGTAGTCCAAAACCATTCACTTTATGTTAATGGCACTTTATTGCCTCATGTAAGTGTTTTTTTTTTCCCAGCCACAAACTGAGATCCTTTAGCTATTTAATCTGGGACATTAAGCATCTTTTTTTTTTAAAAAAAGGCCCCTCACTTTGAGAGGAAGAAAGAAATGCAGATGAAAACAAGCTGGAACATTTTTAATAGTGGCAGAGAATGAAAATTACCTTCCACATGGCTTTGGCAATGTTCTTTGTATCCAAAAGAACCGGAAACAGGAAGTGAATGTTATCTTTGAATTCTTCATAATTTTCTGAAGATTATAAGTAATAAAATGGGAAAAGGAGGGAGAACAAATTACCAACTTACAACCAGTTGATTAATAAGTGTTCAAAGTTACGAAGGAGCCCTGCTAAAGGTACTTATGACTTGGTTCTGAAGCTCCAAAGGCTGCCCTCCCCACAGTCACATTTACTTCTAGTTTTCACCAAAAACGTTCCCTAAAAGAGGGGTCCCCAACCCCCCAGGCTGTGGACCAGCACTGATCCGTGGCCCTCCAGGAACCGGTCAACACAAGTGAGCAAAGCCCCATCCGCACACATGCAGGATCCAGGCAGCACGGAAAACTGCCTCCCATGGAACTAGTTCCTGGTACCCAAATTATTGGGAGGGTTTCTTACCATAGAGAACAATGGGTTCACTTAACAACTGTGGTAATTTGTTTAGTGACCGCCATCAAAAAAAGGTTGTAAAATTGGATAGCTCATGTGGTTGACCTGCTTTACAACCATCAAGACTTATGACCATAATGGGCAGACTCCACTATGGTTGCAAGTCGAGACTATCTGTAATGCTTGCTTGTAAATTTATTAAGCTAATGCCATTAAACTTGCAAGAGACCCAAATTGCACCAGTTCTTTTCTAATAGCAAAGATGAAGAGCAATTGCTTAAGAGCTGAAAGAGGGATACGATAGATCCTATACGACTGGTATTCGAAATGGCTTTACCAGGAAGGGGCTTGTAAAATTTCTCGTGTAGATACAGAAGATCCATCAGCATATTGTGTCCCACCAGCGGCTACAGAGAGCGAAAATAAAAAACAACAACAAAACCAAGCAAAACTTGGTAAGATTGTCAGTACATCCTTGCAATTCTGCATTGCTCCTTTAAAAACACTAAGTATAATTTGCTTGCTAGAGCTATGCTTTGCAGAGGGCATTCTTCCAAACCCAGGGACAAACTGCAGGTAATGCAGAACATAAGTAATGTAATGGAAGTGAAATTGTAAGTTGTGGTCATATGATTTTATGGCTTAGCAGCCACATTGCTTCACTTAGTGGCCGAAGGTTGAAAGGCCAGATGACATGAAAGAAACCGGGCCATTCAAACAAGTGAAATACCATCTGTGGGATGCAGACAGCATATGAAACCACGGCCCCTCCGGTCTGCAGAAAAACCTCTCTCCATAGAACTGGGCCCTGGTACCCAAAAGGTTGGGGAGGGGCTGCTGACTAGTTCTGCTCTCCACCCTCCTATCCTTCTGCAAGAGCCTGAAGACCTGGCTCTGACAGGTGGCCTGGAGCCCCAATGGGAGAGTTCCAGGCTGGAGGTACCGTGTTTCTCAATATAATAAAGCTGGGTCTTATTTTTATTTTTTTGAGCCCTGAAAAAATGGCTAGGCCGTCTTTTCGGGGGTGACTTAATTCCCCCCCCCTTGCATCTTCGGGCGGGCGGCAATGGCTTGGATGTTGACCTCGGCGTTGGTGGGGCACTTCGTATCGGGGACAACGCAGGCAGCACCATATCCGGGTGTGCAACAAAAGAACTTCCTAACGGCAAGCCCCCCCACCATTCCCCCCCATTTTGCATGTTTTAATATAGGCCTTAATTTGGGGGGAGGGGCTTAATTTCATTTCATGCCTATAAAACATGCTGGGACTTCCTATTGGGGGAGGCCGTATTGTTGGAGAAACAGGGTAGTTACTGGACTGATGACAGATTCCACCTCCCCTCCCCACTTGCTCTCTGCTCCCCACACGTCCATCTTTTTTGGTTATCATATTGATGTATTCTCATTGTTTTCTTTTTTTGTAGTTTATTTTATGGTTCTGTTATTTCGGTTTTGTTGTCACTCTTTTCATTTCTTCCTTTTCATTGTTGTAAGCCACCTAGAGTATTCCCAGGGTGAGAGAGGCGACAAATAAATTTAATAGCAATAAATAAACATTTTGCAACTCAGGCTTTT